TATGCCGAAATAGTGGAGGTACTTAATTAAAATCCGACAATTATTTTATTTCTGCAAGAATTTCAAATACAATGTATTTTTAACGCCAAAATTCCCTGCCCATCCGCTGATGCAAGAAAAACCTTAAAAAATCCTTTGGTCTTTCCTTTTAATAAAAAGATTTTAACAATAAAACTTTTTTTTTTTTATCAAGTTTGGGGAATTTTTTTCATCATGCGATGCTCATTTTTAGCGAAACTTTCGTAGGTACCTATACATAGCTGTTCATAAACTTTATTCTAGTTTCGCAAAAGAAGGAGTACTTATTTTCGAGAGAACTAAAATCATGCATTTCTCTGGCATCAGACGAACAGGTTTCAGTTTTCTTTTTCTTAATCTTTTGCTATAACTGATTAATATTGTGCTGTAATCATCAGAACCACCCCAATGGGTTAAAAATAGCAAAGTAGACTAGATTCTACCAGTCAAAGCGAAGGAAAACTGAAAATCCAAATTTGTGGAGAAGGCAACAAGAGATTATCCCACTCCTTCGAATGAATACCATTAACAAAGAAAAGAATCGGTGAAGAAGAGATATGGAATTTAAATAGTTAGAAATAGAATACAGTTATAGGTAAAAAAAAGAAATTTATTATTTTTTCCATCGGATCTGTGAATAATAGCAAGATCACTTGGATGACATTTTGTCAGACAAAAACAAAATTGTTTCATTTTTGAGAAAATGTTTAGACTCGTAGCGAAATGTTACAGAAACCAAATCAAACATAACCTTCTAGTGTTGGGGATAGAAAAGACCTAACAATGAATTTCAATGGTCCATATCAGAATAAATTTATTTTGCGTACAACAGCCATTACTTCGAGTATCAGTGAAAATAAAATTTAATATATCGAAATTCAGCTGTTATTTTAAGAGAAATACAACCCACAATTTATGAAATTAATAATAATAAAATAAAAAAAAAGCAGTAAAATTATTATAAACCAACAATTTAAAAAATATTCATATAAAATTCAATAGATAACTATAGAAAATGGACGGAGAAATCATTGCATTGTCATGATTAAAAAAAAAAAAAAGGAAAGAAACCGGACATCCGGTATGGAAGGCTGACAGTCTCGCACCAAAAAGCCGCTACCACATAATTTAATATAAATATACAAATTAATTTTTTTTTTTATTAGCTTGTGGAAAAATCAAACCGGCAAATTAAAAAAAAAAAATGGATTTGAGGAAATAGATAAAGCAGTTATGAATTTAAGAAAAAAAAAAAAAATGTTTTTAAAATACGACTAATCATGTGTTAAGTAATCAATCGACACAAAAGGTGTCAATGCAATGCCAAATATAGTTTGATATTTTTAATGTAATAAAATCAATGATGTTTTTCTATGTTTAACGGTTTTTACAGTTCTATATTAAAATCACTCATATTTAATTAAAAGTCTATTCCATAAAAAAATAGATCCTGGCCTAAAAAAAAAAAAAAAATCAGCGATTTGCTCATGGATGAAATATTTCACGTTTCCCCAGTTTTCAAAGTATGAGCCACTTACTGGTTTCTTGAATGACAAACTTCACCTATGAGAAGTAGCAATCTTCCTTTAATGATGAAAAAAGGAGTTGCCGTCAGACTAAAAATGTGTAAAGCATTAAGGATTCATGTATTGAAACCTGTAAAAAAGTAAAACTATTTTCCATTTTCCCCCGTAACATAAAAAAACCCCCAAAAAACATTGAAATTAAAAACCTTTTCTTTTTCTTCAAACAAAAAGTCTTAAGTCTAAAAATCGAGCATAACTCGCAACACATTTTAAAAGCGTAACATCGTTTTTAGAAGAAAAGAACCCTTTAGGTTAGTTAACTTAATTTAAAACTATTTCAATAAATTTTCGATACCTGAAATAATGAAAAACATTCTTTTTTCATTTTCTTTAATTGAAAGTTTAATAACAAAATTCTTAATTAAACTAAAAAACCCCCAAAAATTGTCATTTAACAAATTTTTAAATTTTCTTAAAACACTTAATTTTAAAAAATTTGTAAACAAACAAAATTTATCATTTTAAAATATTTAAAAAAATTCGTTTTTTAGTAAAATTAAAAATTTAAAGAAAGAAAAAAGAAATAAAATAAAAATTTAAAAAACCAATTTAACGAGCGGTCCCGATCTGTTTTGATTTGATAATGGTTGATTTTCCTGATGACAGCTTTTGACCAAAATGACTAATTTTTAAGTCTGAGTTTTTAAAAAAATTAAAGTGACACACAATACAATTCATAAAAAAAAAATTTTTAGTAAATGAAAAAACCAAAAAAAATAAAATTTAAAGTTTAAACTTTGAAAAAATACGACTTGTAGTAACGAACGAAATTTTTTGAAAAGGCCACGTAAAGGGACAAAACCCTTAGATCACATGACCTTGTTAAAAATTATAAAAAAAAAAAAAAAAAAAAAATCAATATTATTTTTTAAAATTTAACTAAATAAAACTAAAATTTTTTTCTACTTAATTAAGTACAAATTCGAGGAACCCTCCCTAATACAGAGCTTTACACGATTTAAAACTATTATAAATTATTATAATTAAAATTTCTTAAAAACGAAAAAAAAAAAAAAAAAATTATTCAAAAAAATTATTTCTTCAGACTAATGTCCTTAAAAATTACTTATTTACAAAAAAAAAAAAAGAAAATCTAATTTTTTGAATAAAAGCAATTTTTCGTTTTATCAAATTCGCATCTAATTTTAGTTATTTTCAATAAAAAAAAAAAAAAATAAAAAAAAGGTTTTTGGGCGAAATTAAATTAAGTAAATGTGGGGTAACTATTTTAAAAAAATATAATTTTTACATTGATTTGTGAATAAGTCCTGATATTAAGATTGGACAATTATTTTATTTTACAAGAATTTCCAAATCAATATGACAGACTACATTACATATGAGTAAACAAAGACGACTAAATTCTTTTTCTTTTCTCTAATGCATTTTGACGAAAAATTTTCTTTTAAACATTTACGCTATGCTGTTTTTCCCGCGAAAACAGTGGACATGTTAAATAATTAATATAGTTTAAGGTTTATTTTCCTAGCTTTTACCATAAACCATTTACTAAAATAAAGTAAACAATTTAAAAAAAAAACAATTGAATGATGAATTTACTTCGTTCTAGTTAAATATATCCTTCAAATAAGAGAATGCAAAAGACTGCAAGTCAGAATAATTAATATGAAATTTTTACAAAATAAGCAAAACCAAAACCAGACGACATTAAAGAAAAACTGTTTAGTTTGCGCATGAGAAAAAAAAACAAAAAACAATGACGTTATCAAAAACAAAAAGAGACGAAATGAAAGACCGTTGGAATTAGAAAACAATACATATTGTAAACAAAATTTGAATCTTATTCAAAACAAAAGTGACGTTTAGATTGGTAAAAGAAAACAAATCTTTAAATTTAAAAAAGTAATTAAAACGGTCAACAAAATGGAATAAAGAAAAAACGAATTTGAGTTTTTTTCTAAAACTTTGAATCGTAACAAATCAATAATGCACTTCTTCACTTATTTAATAAATAAATAAAATCAGTAAGAATGTAAACGACTTTGAATCAGAAGATTGCGAGCGTAACTGACAAATTTCAAATATCAATTTAAAAAAAAAAAAGTGTAAAATTTAAAAATATTGGCAAAGATTCATCTTTTGATTTTAAAAAACCAAAAACAAGAAATCTTGTGTTCCGGGAATAAAGACTTAATTATGGAAACATCCTATCCCCAAATCAAGTTTAGCTTAAAAAAGAATATGCAATTTTATTAACTTGGTCTAAATATTACAAAATAATACGATGACGCCGAAAAAACATTAGTGGGGGGAAAAAAATCTCATTTAATCTCCAAGAAATGTCCGTTAATACTTAATAATACTAACATTTTCTTTAATCACCCAACCTAAAATTTTGTAAGTGGATGGATTTTTTTAAAGTTAGTTATTAAAAATGATTGCTAAGAAAAAAAAAAAAGAATAAATAAATAAAAAGGGGACAAGAATTTGTTTTTCGTCGAAATAATGAAATGTTTATTATTAGTATTTATTTCACCTTTTCGGCATAAGGTAGCTTATCAGTTGTTCAATGCCTGGCGTTTTGATGCACTCTTAGGATTCTTAAAATGCCTTCTCTAATTATGAGAGAGCAAACGAATTTAGTCAACAGACCTTTTTTCTTTGCTCATTTAAGCAGGATCTTCAAAATTTCAATCATGCAAGAATTTAAGAGAGATAGGAAAGAAACGAGATAAATTTGAGGTCATTAAGTTTTAAAAAAAACAAACTAGACTACAAGTTTGGAAAGAGATAGCGAGACTAAAAATAATATTTCATAAAGGAAGTAAAAATGAAAGAATAAACGAAAAAATAAAAAACGTCTTTTTTTTTTTTTTTGGAGGGGAATGAATGCAAGACCAAAATCAATCATTTTAAGAATTCCATTTAAGAATAAAGATAAATAAAGCTTATATAAACAAAGGGTTAAATGACAAACACGCTATCGAATTTTAGATGCCTACATACACAACATCTTTTAAAAAAATTCATTTTAGAAAGAGTTTTCATAGAGAGAAAGACAAGGTGGGACACCCTCCTCCTCGAAATAAGTACATATCCCAGTAAAGATTCGGTTAAGCTATACAGCATATATTTATGTGGAAATATATTTTTTCGATCGAATTTGTTCTGAGATTTATGAAGGTAATCATAATTTATTTCGGAACCTCTTAATTTTCTAGAAATTGAAAGTTTAAAAAGTGGAAGCGAGTATAGTGGCTCTAAAGTGGGGGTCTAATTTACAATTTACGTATAATGCCAAAGTAGACCCTGAGTTTGCGTTCGACATAGTGACATCGCATATTCAATTTTTTACAATGAAAACGTGCTGCTAAAATAATTCATCTTTAGCTTAACCGAATCCTCGTCGATACAATATAGATGTAAATTTCTTACCGTCTTTACAACAGAAACGTTGTTAGTTGTGCAATTTATAGCAGCAGATTGTTCTGACTCCAATCGGGATTTTTTAGCAGGCGGCGATGAAGACTCCAGGTTTTCGCTACCACTGGACATCTACGTCGTAACAAGTAAAGAAGAGGAAGGACAAAATCAGGACCGATTTAAAAAAAAAACAAACTAGTTTTGTTTAGATATAAATAAGTATCAATAAATCAAGGACACTCTCTAGCTAAAGATTTTTCATTAAACCGTCTTGAAAAATACTTTCAGGTAGATATTCAAAAACGAAAAAGAGTTTCTATGAGCAGGTTTTAAAGTTAGAAATTTAAAAATATATACTCTCTTACCGAGGAAATATAGTCAATTTTTTGTTATTTAAAATCAATGTTTAAAAAAAAATACCGTTTCCTAGCTTTGGGTGTACGACTGTAAAAATCAGATGTTAGAATTTTGACATTATTACGTATTTAACGTTGACTGTTTAAAATTCGTTAAATAATATAACAATGAAAAAAAAAAATCAAACTTATTGATTTCTTAAAAGGAAAAATATTAATTACAATATCTATATATAGTATTTAAAAAAAAAAAAAAAAAGCCCTTTATAAAGAGTGAGAATATATCAGAACAATAAGAGGCCTGTGGATACTAGTGCAGGGCTATCTTTGTTCAAATACAATTTACTGGAAAAGTAAAGTTAATGAATAGGGAAGGTGCATCGTTTCAAAGATAAGTATAGGTAGATAAATTACCAGCGATGACAACAACAGGAAACAACAAAGCTTTTACTGACCGTTGCAGCTAAAACCCTGCAAATTTTACAACTTGCACCACCACAAATATGGCGGCTGGTTGGAACACGTGTGACTGGATGTGGAAAAGAGATTTCACTTGTTCAACTAATCATATGCAATATAGAGGTTCATTACACACACACACATTTCTTCTTAGCAATACTAAAAGCTCTTAGCTAGTTTGGTAAATAATATATTAATAAAAAGAAAATATTAATACTAAGTCTTTTCTTATTTTTACTAAAGTTATTTTTTATGAATGAGAATTTGGTGAAAATAAATGACTGTGGTTCTGGCAAATTAATAAAAATTAGAAATAAGTTTAAAAAAATAATGAACTGTGACTAGGCTCCTTAAAATTGAAAATAAAGATGGTCTTTAAGGAAAAAGAAGATAAGACAATAATTAAACAGACTAAGAAAGCTCAGATTTTTATGTAGATAAGACAAAGAGTGGATTGTGAATAATATCTATGAAAAGTGGGGGTCGTGTAACGGAGAGAGGCCACGATATTTGAACTTTTACTTTATAAAAGAAAATTGTATTGTTTGTATGCATAATAATGTGATTAATATTTATAAAAAAGGAATTGATGTAAGTAGAGATGATGTTTTAGAAGAGGACGAAAAATACGCATATAAAATAAAAATAGTGTGGAAACAAATAAAAAAAGGATCGTATCATCGGCTTACAAGTGTAGAGGGTATAGAGACAGAGGGACAAAAAGCAGTATGACCAATGTGAAGGGTTCTGTGCGTAATGTGACTATAAGAGAGGATGATGATGCATTGGATGGTGGAGGGAAGAATGTATGTGAGGGTCAAGAAAAGGAGGGGAAAGCATCTGAAACAGAGCGGGCAAAGTGAGAAGAAAAGTGTAAGCTATAATTGTGATAAAATAGTTTAAGGAAAAGAAATAAAAAAAAAGAAGCAAAGTGAGGGGAAAAAAACAACTTTCGAGTTGGGTTTAGACTGCCTGAGGACTGGTACTTTTTTTAACCTTTGGAGACAACTAAACTAGAACATCTAAAGTAAACCGTGTGTGCAAAACAAACTTAGTTTCAATAAGAGATGACGAAATTATTTCAAAATATTAACAGATTTAAAATAAAAACGGTTAAAAATAAATAGCAAGTCACATGACTATTCCGCATTTAAAACATGATTTTTGTAACAAGGGCTTTTTAATTAAAAAATGTTCAAAATCGGTGAAAAAAAGAAGAGATAAGATAAAAACAAAGAGAAAGTATCGACAAACAATTGGTAAACAAAAATAATAAAAAAATATCTTAGTGAACCTACCAAAATCCAAATAATTCTTTATCCAAAAATAAATTTAAAAAAAAAAAAACAAAAACAGCGGAGCACTTGTTTTTTTTTCCCCTTAGTGTAACTGTCCGTTTTTTATTTATTTGTATTATTTTTAATAACAATCCAAGTATTAATAACAGCTGTAGATATGGATCTTCTTTAAATTAGTTTCTTGTTTGTATTCCTTTAGGGCTGTATAAAAGTTGAAATAATCTTGCTCGTTTACTTTCACAACACTATGTGGATGAATACTAGTATTATTCATTGAATAATGTGAGTGAGCTAATCGGGTTTTTTCCTTTTTTTTTTTTTTAAGTCTTGTCTCTCTTTTATTAGCTTCTCTCTCTACTTTCTATTCTTTGATCGTAGCGGGTGTGTTATTTTATTGAGCTTCGTTCTTTTCCACTCTTTTCTTTCTCTTTTAATGACTACTTTCAGTAGTCAGTCTTTTCAGCTCTTGTTCTTTTTCTATTATAGAAGACTGAGAGTCCTATTTCCTGATTTAAGGGTGGGAAAATAAAAGGAGATATTAGTCATTTATTTGCGGACAGATTGTTGTTACTGAATATTTCACTAAGCTAAAATGAGTCTGACAACAAAGAGAAGTAATATTGTTTCTCCCATAGATCAGTTATGGCTCACAGCTCTTTAAGAAAGTACTGAATGCCAGAAGCGATTTTTTTTTAAAGTCAGATTTCTCATACCCTAAGACTAAGAAGAGGCTTCTAATAATCAGACACCTGAGAAGGGGATTTGAAATTTCTTGGGCACACCAGGCTGCCGTACTGTTAGTGTTGCTGTTGTATCTACCGTACCAACAAGTGCTCTTTTTCAAGCACTCCTATTTAAAAACCAACAAAACAAATACAAGGCTTGGTTAATTCAAGATGCAGAGAATTATTACCAAGAGGACAAAAGAAGATCTTCATTGTCAGTGTTGCTGTCATTCATTTTTTTATGTTTAACAATAACATTATTTATGCTGTGTTTAAGTTGTAATAAAATTAATTTGCATTTTTTAACTTACGTTTCAAATAATTTGTGAATGCCAAACAAACACTGATCAACTTACTTTTTCTTTATCTTAGTTAAATCTGTATTTTTTAAAATTTTAACTAGCCTCATATTCTGTTTCCCCTTTGGATTTGAAATGTCATGAACCCAAAGGCAAAAAGTATTTTTATGTTCATATGTTAAGTAAAAATTGAAATTTAATTTAATCTAAATGAAAAAAAAAAAAAAAAATTAAAATATAGGAAAATATTTTCGGCCGATAACAAGCAGGAAAAACTGTCCTTGTTTTGACTTTTGGAAATATTTTCCTTCCACATTTTTCATAACTAGAGAATGGAAATCTTAGCGAGTTACCATTTTTTTGGCTTCGTTCGTAGTTTCAATCTATTTTTCCTTTTTATTTCGTGTTACAGCTTCAAACGATCTAATTAAATTAAAACTTTAAAAGTTATTAAATTCGTATGGGTTCAGAATATGCAGTTTTAGTTTGTCGGGGGAAAGGAGAAATCAGTGTTTTATTATTGTTTACAGAAACCATCGTTTGAAAACCAATCACTATTGAATATTCTATTGAATACAAGATTAAAAATTATTTTAAAAGGAAATTAAGAAAAAGTCTTTGAGAAAAATGAAAAATAAACGCTGACATATGAGTAAAAAAAATAAAGAGATTGCTATTATTGCAGCACAATGGAGAAAAAAATTACTTAATATTTTTTTTTCAGTCTTGAGAAAAAAGTGCACACTAGTTTCTCGAACTATTTTACTTACAATATTTTTTTTAAAGTAAGATTAAATCAGAAAGTAAAGGGAAGCGAAAGAGACGTTACCCCCCAAAATTAGGAAGCTGCCCCCAAAAACTAAAAAAAATGCAATATCATTTTTTACCTCAAAGACAAGAAGGATGTTGCATAGCATGTGCAACCAAAGTTTTTGTTCTAGTTGTTAATTTTCAGAAAAAAGGTATTGGTAGTTTTTTTAATTACTTTATTAAATTTGTAAAAAGTGCATTTTTAGAGCAAAAGAGGTTATTGGGTAAAAAAACTAAAAAGCGTACCGTGGTATATTCACTCAGGTCTCTAGGTACCCATTCCTTGAATTTGAATAGAAGTGAAACAACTTTGATGAAAAAAACAATAATTTTTTTTAAAGCCAGGGACTTATTCTTCCTAAAATAAAACCTCTTGTACATAGCTTTTTAGAACTTATCACTATGAGTTAAAGATAGAAAGCCTATCTGATAGAGAACTGAAGTTCATTGAATCGAGTTTGTATCGACAATCTTGATTCTTGCTTGATATTTTTTGAATTTGACAATGCTGAGTGAAAGCAGTTTCAACTTATGATTAATAAATTAATCAATAAATTTAAACAACCTTTACCTTCCAAAGGCTTTTTTTATAACACTGATTTTAGAGATGAAATAATTACCCACAATCTTGATATTTGAATTGGATTTCGTCTCGTTAGTGAACAGTCTCTAATTTAAATATTCTTTCTTTAAAAAAAAATTAACGCGCTAAAAATGTACAAACTCTACGGGTTTGAGAAAAATGTACCCCCCCCCTAAAAAAAAACAAAAACAAGGCTATTCTTGTTCTAAGGAATTTATTTTCTTTCTTCGCCCGACGGACGGCTTAACGTACCCTCCGCACATACACTGTGTAACTGTAGACCAGGACAAAAATTGCTCAGTATGACAGTATCCCACAGCAGTTTCCTTTTTTGAGACGTCTCAAGCACTGACCCAGACTTCCTTACCCTAGCCAGTACAATAAGAGAAGTACTCTCTGGGAGGATGACCCTGGAGCTGAGTAGTCGATGTTTCGGTACAATGAACCAGAATGGATAAAGCAAGAAAAACCAGTGGCAATTCTAATATTTTTTAGCTTAAAATTCACATAAACTAAAAGTAAAACAGAATTTATTTTAACTTTCTAGAGAGTTATGAAAAAATATTTAAGTCAGTTTTTTTTTTTTCACTTTCTGAAAGATTGTTAGTAAATGACTTGCTATGTTGCTATGCTATGTATTTAAATTAAATAATTTAATATTTTAAAATATTAAATAAAATTACTATGTAGATAGTAGCATATGTTAGCATTATCTGTAAAATAAATTTATTTTAATTTATTTTTACTTTTTATTTCACATGGAAAGACAACCTTTTAAAGTTTAAACAAATACACCTTGTGATAGCGTAATAGTGAGTTTGCCTTGTCAATCAGTTATTATTGGCTGATGAGCTTGATCTTCGCAAAATGCCCATACTTGTGGCACTGTGGTTTATCTAGGCAACATTGAGTAATTAACAGAACAAGAACATGTATCTCAAAGTGATGCAACCTAGTCTGAGACCATTGCTATGAGATCTTCATTCAATGCCTTACATGCAGTCCCAGATTTATGTATGGGCTAGTATTGGTTGCAGCTCAGGGGCCCCAAGACTAGTGCCCCCACAAGAGCCCTCTAGTCTTGTGTACCTAATAAAACTAAAGATATAAGAAGTGTGAAGATTTGTTTATTTTCAGATTTTATGGGGCTCCTTTGAACTAATTTGAAAGAATTTAGAATATTTGGGCCTCTCTAGTTGGAGTGGGTCTTTTAAATTTGGTGGGGTCACATTTAAACTTTGATGCATTTTTTATATACATATATATTTTTGAGGTAGCTTTTTTAGTTTTGTATAATTTCGTCTACTTTGCTCAATTTTACACTTTATTATGCATCATGTAAAAATATATCTTTTTTTTTTATAAACAGGAGGATGAAGGGTAAACATACATAATGAAGAGGCCCTAAATTTTATTAGCCTAGGAGACTCTTAAGACCTAAATCTGACTCTGCTTACACATATGGCCTTGTACCCTACTAAGCCAAGCTTAGTATATACTTAAACATACATGCATATATTTACATACAGATTTAATGAGATATGGTATTCCTGTCATAACCTAATTAGGACACTAAGTGTTTTTAATGGGTACAGTATTTGTCATGAAAAGACTTTGATAGTGAATTCAGCATTTGTTGAATACTTCATCATGGCTGACTTGGCAAAATTGATAATTTGGTAATCTCAGATGAAATCAAACAAATGAGACCAATATGAATGGCTGTTGTCAAGATATCCAATAATTTATTTGTTAATAATATTGTTATATACTGTACCTATGAACACTAATGAGTATGTACCAATCCTCATAAATATGAATGGACTGACATACATAGATAGATAGATAGATATGAATAGACTGGGATGGATAGATAGATATGAATGGACCGAGATAGATATGAATGGACCAAGATAGATATGAATGGACTGAGATAGATAGATAGATAGATAGATAGATAGATAGATAGATAGATAGATAGACTACACTACACTTACACTATTGTAAGTGGGGGTAATATGCTATGTAAGTTGTCCACCACTAGCAGTGGTTTATCTATTTCATGCCACTGGCGAGTATTGTATTTTGTTCATGTTATAAAAATTACCATTTCATTTCCAACCTCCATTTTGTTTATTTCTCATTAAGCCACCTTTTCTAGGTTACAACAAATATTTCTTTCTTCTTATAGATAGATTTTAACATATTGGACATTCAGTCAAATTAATGTTGTTGAGTGAAACTCTGGAGTTGGTCAATGAGAAAAGTCCTCTGAACATTTACTAATCAATTTATAAACTATTTATGTATATATGTAGTTACATCAATAACTCTGTAGACTAGTAATGAAAAAAAAAGCATTTATATTTTATAACAGTGTTTCTCAACTGGTGCACCTGGGTACACTAATGCACCCTGAAAGTAACCAGGTGTACCCCAAGTTAACAGAAGAATAATTTATTAATTATTTTTAAAAAGCAAGACACGAAGCACATGGCTTCCATGTCTAAGTCAAGTCTTTGTCATATGATATTTTAAACTGGATGCTAAATTCCTTAATCTTTAAGGAGGAGTGGATAATCCTTTCCCTTTTGCTTTCCTTGATGGATTTAAATAAGTCATCCTTGGCCTCTCCAAAAAGAAAAATAGTAGATTCTTCATAAATCCGTTTAAATGAAAACTCTACTGCTTAAATATATGATATAATGTCTTAAAAATAAATGCTTATTTCAGAAGACTTCTTTATTATTTTTCTTATTTTCAAATTTCATGACTAATTTTTCCTTATTAAAATTTAAAGTGCGCATCGGAATTTTAGTTATTCGACAAGTGCACCCTGAAGTAAAAATGGTTGAGAAATACTGTTTTATACAATAAATATTTATTTTTCAACATAATCCCCTTTCCTGTCAATGCCCTTAATTAAATGGTGGATTAATCACATAGAACAATATTATGAAAATTTTAGGTACAATACAACTAATAACTAAGTATCAGGTTATGGACTTATTGATCCAGCCTTGTATTTCTCTCTTTCTCTCTCACACACATTGTGTTCAGACATTCTTCATGCTGTTAGCAAAATCAAAACTCAATGACAAAGAAAAAGCAATAGTCTGAAATTGATTTTTTAAGTCACTTTTTGAACATATGGCTTTTTATAAATAAGTATATGCTGTAATTTTTTAGTTTTTTCTATCTCAGTCCATTCCTTCCTTCCTTCCTTCCTTCCTTCCTTCCTTCCTTCCTTCCTTTCTATCTATCTCAGTCCATTCATATCTATCTCAGTCCATTCATATCTATCTATCTATCTCAGTCCATTCATATCTACCTATCTATCTATCTATCTATCTCTCTCAGTCCATTCATATCTATCTATCTAGCTATCTATCTCTCTCAGTCCATTCATATCTATCTATCTATCTATCTATCTATCTATCTATCTCAGTCCATTCATATCTATCTATCTATCTATCTATCTATCTCAGTCCATTCATATCTATCTATCTATCTATCTATCTATCTATCTCAGTCCATTCATATCTATCTATCTCAGTCCACTCATATCTATCTATCTATCTCAGTGCATTCATATCTATCTCAGTGCATTCATACCTATCTATCTATATATTACTTTAGTCTGTTCATATCTATCTATCTATATCAGTCTGTTCATATCCATCTACCTATTTATCTATGTCTGTTTATAGCTATCTCACTCTGTTCATATCTATCAAGCTATCTCAGCCTGTTCATATCTATCAACCTATCTCAGCCTGTTCATATCTATCAAGCTATCTCAGCCTGTTCATATCTATCAAGCTATCTCAGTCTATTTATATCTTTGTAGCTATGTCAGTCTGTTTATATCTTTGTAGCTATCTCAGTCTGTTTATATCTATTAAGGGAATCACAGATCATTCGGAGATATATCCACTTTGTCAGTGACATAAGAATAATAGTTTATTCTTGCCTTTATTTATATTAATTGTGATCCTTTCGTAAGGAACGAAGAATTCTCAAGTCTAGCCTAAAACATTCTATTGTTATTACAGGGAGATACATTTTTATTCTTCTTATTAAAAGTATTTACTTGATCAGGTCAACCTTTACAGAAGTCAACAGTATATAGGATTGTACCTATTGTCAATAACTTTTGAAATGTAACAAATTAGAACAGTCACTACATTACTTATGTAAATGTAAAACACATCTTAGTTGGCAATAATATAAGTGACAAATGGCTATAAAAAGATACTGTTGATTATTCATGGCTAATTTGTCTAAATAATGCATTGACTATTGTTTGTGTATCATGACAATAGTTGTCAGTAAAATGATGCACTATAATAAGTAACCAAGTAATCCTTTTAAGTTCTCTGAATATCAGTGCCCTTATAGAATCAACTTGCTAATCACTGTATTATCGTTCTACTTTTCTTTTTGCAACATTTAAACTGGATAATTTTCTTTCTGTAAATTAAATATCATTTTAGAAAGAAAGAGGATTAGGAATAGAACAACAGACAATAATATAAGTGGTAATTAAATCTGATTTTATAAAAGGTAATCTCTTATGAAATGTTTGCAATGACAAAAGGAACAAGAGCAAAACTACATCTGACAGAAAGGCCTCTGATCGGGAGGTTTTGAGGAGTGTGGAACCACCTCTTAATTGCTGTTGTTCTCAAGTTCATCCTGAACCAGAGTAGTAGCACCTGTTAGGGTCCCAGCTATAGGCAAATAGTTATCTGCCAAACTGGGGTCAAAACACTATGAAAGTATAAAAATAGATTTTATAGTAAAAATATCAGCAACAAAAACCCTCTTAACAAAAATACATCAATGAAACCTTATCTACAAACTGATTTCTTACAAATATATATTCTATTCATAAGAACTTATCCTAAAAATCTTGCCAGCATTAAATAACCCATTGAGGTATTGATATACCATAAAAAAATAAACCAAACCAAACCAAACAAGAACAAAGATATATAAATTAAGAAATAATATTTCAAAGTAATAAATAGTGAAAAAATTTTATGAAATAAAATGATCTTTCCTCATATAAAATATATTAGGTGTGTACAAAAGTTCCCAGTTTTTTTTTTAAATTGGTCATTGAATACAGTCTGCTAGAGACTTTTCTACACACTTAATAATTATTCAAAGTTTCACTCAATTTTTACAGCATTTTTATTTTTACATTAAATTTAGCATATATTTTCAATTTTTTGTAATTAGTACTCATACACAATAAATATAGTACAGTATGAAACTAAAAGTCCTTTAGCTTAATGACTATAATAAAATGTAAAAAATTGCATCATCATCATCATAATAACAATAATAATAATAATGATCATGATCATGATCATCACCATCATCACAAGTTCAATCCACACATAACAAAGAGCTTTATCTATGTAAATTGTAAAATGTGTGACCTTTTATTTTTAAAAAATGCTAAATGGAAAAATTCATGAAGCCATTTCTAACCTTAGGCAGCTGGTTGGGATCCAGAAAGAAATGTGTATACAACAGAAATCGAAGAAGAAGAAGAAGAAGAAGAAAAAGAAGAAGAAGAAGAAAAATAATAATAACAACAACAACAACATTAATACTAATAAAAATCAGTCAAAAATAAAAAAAAAATAAAATCAGTAGTAGAAGTATTTTTACTGCTTCAGGCTAAAAAGGTTGCATAACATTTACAGTTTACAGTTACACAGAGAATTGAGTTCTAAAGTTCATAGATTTAAAAAAAAAATGTTATTAGAGATGATATGAAATTTTGTCATGATCAAACTATTTTTTAGTAATAATAATTATGACATTTTTTCCCTAAATCGTATTTTTATAATTAGATATATAAATTATAAAGCAAAAATGAAAAAGGAATATTTTAAGGAAAATTATTCAGCGAGTGTTCATGCTAGTTGTAGTAACAAAGTGGCTTACACTGGAAATTAAGTGGCAGCAAGTTTTCTCACTCATAATAATTATTATTAGTGAGTGAGTGAGTGAGAGAATGAGTGAGTGAGTGAGTGAGTGGAAGCAGCACATCAACAAAGTGATGCTGGTTTACAATACGAACGAAGCCCAATATGAATATATACCCGTCGACATCCAGTCTAAGGGAAGGAAGGGTGTACCAAGCACATACATCACAACCAAAATGTGTGATATTATTTATTATTATGACTAAAAATAAAATGGTAAAAAAATAAAGATGTTAGTAACAAAACAGCCTTGTTAATAATGATATCTAACATGTTTCGTGGTACATCTTCTTCTGTGTGACATCACGAAACGAAATAGGAATGGCAACATATTGCTCTCTGCTTTTTTAGCTATTATAGCCAAACAAAAAGATTATCTCTCTTTGACTTTACTAAAAAGATGAAGTCACTTTATTATTATCATTATTATTATTATTAACAAGAAGTAGTAAACATTAAAGAATTAATCTCAATATATATTTTTTGTAATAATGTCAATATATGAATCACAAAAAACCCTATTCATCACAAACGAAAATGAACATTGTACAGTTGAAAATTACTTGTTATTGAAGGTTAATAATCGTTGTTACTATTTTTTTTATTAATAGCAATAGCAATAACATAATGATTATATCAGGTTTATAAACAATTAAATTCTAATAATTAAACAAAAAAGTTTAATGACTATAATTAGTCTTAGTAAACAAAATACTTGTTTTTTGTGAGTTTAAAAAGAACTGTCTTAATTTTTTGCACATCATGTGTACATTACAACAAAAAGTGAAAATAGATATACTGTTTAGTTTATCTATAACAATTATGCAATAGTTTTTGACTTTTTGAGTTTGACATCATTTTAGTAGGCAAAACTAAAATAATATTCATAATGATTGTCTTTTTCTGCTTCATAATGATGACTCATCATCAGTCGCTATTCAATTCATTGATTTAAAAGTCAACAATGTACATATCAAAATAACTCTGTAACAACGAGTTTGTATTATATAAGGTCAACAACACGGACCTTCTTGATTAGAAATTATCACTAATCATCATCAATGTCACTGTCTTTTCGATATAAATAAATTTAGTGATAAATAAATAATTAATTTCGTTCGTTTAACACCATAAAAAGCACAAAAACTAAAACAAAAACAGGTGTTGCACACGATTATTAAGAAAACTGATCTGATACCAATATGTTTGTTTTTGTTGTAAATAAAATAAACTTTAAATAATAAGTAAAAGAATAATACATACCGATTGTTATGTTCTCTTTTTTTTTCGTCTGCTCTCTCTCTCTTCTCTTGTTCTCTCTGATTAAAAAAAGAATTCTTTCTTATTGCTTACACCTATTTTTTTTTGTTAATTTAACCCTTATAATTATTCCTCTCGGGCGATAAACAATCAATGTTTTTTTTTTAAATGTAGTCTAAAGGAAGAAAAAAATACAAAAAAGTAGAGTACTTGGTTTTCTTTATAAATAATAACAAAAAAGTAAATTATTTGTTTCTTCCGTCCTGTGAAAATCGACTAAAACGTTAAAGATAAAGAATAGCGGGAGACGAAACCTTGTTAATATAAAAACTCCAAGTATTTGTAAACATGAATTTTCTAAGCAAGGGCAACAACAGAATTAGCGAAATATTTAAATTGTGGCAATTATTTAATTTTTTAAAATTATTTTTCTTTTTAAAAAAAATTAGCAATGAGAGAAATAAAAAAAAATTGGGAGATCCCCCCCAAAATGATTACTTCCTGTTCGTTTCAGCTTTTGTTGAAACCTTTTTAGCTGCACCGATGCATCATGGGAGTGACGTAATTCTGTGTATGTGCGCCTGTTCGTACGTGTGTGCATGGAGAAAGCGAGATGGGAAGGAAAGAAAGGGAAAGAGAAAGAGGTGTGCCTGGGATTCTCTGTATCATCATTTTCACTTTCCAAGATTCCATTTATGACTTAATGAGATTTATTTCCTAAAAGAAAGAAAATGGCCTTCTACATTAATTTATGAGAAGAACAGAACGAAAACTAAATTAGTTTTAAATTTCTCTGCCTCTAAAAAACAGATCGATATTTTATTTTTGTAACAACAACTTATCAACTCACAAGAGCAGAACTGAATTAAATTAAAAAATAAATTTAAAGTTAACTGAAACTAAAATTGAGCAGGAGATATTTATTTTCCCAGATAAATCAACTCAAAACATTTAAAAATTATTTTTCAATATCATAGCGAAATCTGACCTGGGCCCCACACTCGACTTCATTCCAATTCCATGCTTTAATAAATGGAAATTTAAAACAGAAAAGTTAGCACAAAGAGTTCTATTTGAAAGTGAACGTTCTTCTAAATTATTATTTTCTGTAGTTGAGTATTTCTAGGACTTCAAACTGTAAACTTCTATTACTGGCGCCAAGAAGGTCCAACTCCTTAAAGTACGGAGAGGAACTGAAAGGTGAATAATACAGTCTCTTTCAACGTGAAGAACCGTTGCCCACAGGAATGGGCAATGATTTTTTTCATTGAGGGTCGTCATCATTGTTGACCCTGTGCAAAATGGGTCGCATCATAACAACACAAGTTTCGTAACGATACCATGTAACAAAGAAAACAATCATACGTACGCACGTTATTTGTACATTTTTTTCTTCAGTCACATTTTTTGTGAACAGACTGATGAACAAATATGAGAAAAAATATAGTTTTAATTTTATTTTTATTACTAATGAGATATGTGTCACTGAGAAAGTTTTTTCATAATCAGGATTCAGTGTTTTTTTACTGATTACTCGTCGATTTGTGCAAAAAACAGATTGCAGATTAAAATCAAAGTTAGACTT